GGCAAACCCCGGTGGAGCCTTTAAAAACCCTTCCACCCCCACCCATACCTTTGCCTTTACTTTTTTGTTCCCCCTTAACCTTTAAAAGGGGGGGAGAGCGCCTCCTGAAGGGAAAGAAAATTAAAGGAGGGGGGTTTCTTTTTTTCCGATCCTTCCCCCCTTTTCCCCCCATTGGTTTTCGGGAGGCTTAAGGGTTCGAAAAGAGGCCGGGGGGGGGGGCCCATTTTTATTTTTTCCATCCTTTAGGGGTTAGCCCTTGGCCCCCGCCCCCTGGAGGGGAGGGACCTTTTTTCCCCCGGGCCGGTTCCCGGAGGCCCATTGTTTCTTTCTTATTTGGGGGGGGGGGGGGGGGCGAACTCCTGTTTTGAATGCCTTACCGGCTAGACCATTGACCACGCGTCAGGACGGAACAGTATTCCCACAGGACCGATCACCGATGGCCAATCGTTCCCACCTACTTGCGACGCGCGCGCGTGCTTGTGTGTGTGTGAAAAACGAACGTGTCGGATTTTGAACTCGAGAGCGCTAGAAGCTCAAGACACACCCCAACGGTCGTTGCGCTTGCGCTTTTCCCTGATGGTGTTGCCGCGTTCCTCAACTGTGACAGCACAAACGATACCAACGATGGCGGCTATGACGACGACGATGACCACTGCTAGCAACAACATCATCATCAACAACAACAAGGCCACCATTACCACTACAACCTCAAGATAGCCACAGCAGCAACAGCGGCATCGACAAAGGGGAAGCAACAACCAAAAGTCAAGTTTTCTCACCTGAGACGCTGTCGCCCACGCCGCCCCCAGTAACCCAAATCTTGTGCGCCCTCTCATCCCCCGGGCGCGCTGCCTTAGGCTGACTTTCTGGAGAATTTTGCGCCCCCGCCCCTACGCCATCATTCAGCGGAGCGGTGGAGTCCGCCGGCGTCCTCAGCAGCCCTCTTGCGTCGCTGCTGTTGTTGTTGATTTCCCAGGCATCGTCCAAAGAGGTCCCAACACTCCCACCACCACCACCACCACCACCAAGGTTGCTGCTGCCATTTTCGAGATGGTCATCACAGGGCTGAAATGGCAGGTCGACAGGGTCCTCGCCCCCCCCGCCGCTGCCGCCGGTCGTGTCCACCGTCACCCCCGTAGCAGCCGCAGCAGCGGCCGCACCACCCCGAGCTTCGCCGCCGCCTCCATCACCACCGCCTCCGCTACCGGAGAGCAGTCCACTCTTGTGCGGCGCGGGAGGGGGCGGGGGCGGGGGCTCTCGATCTCGCGTTGGTTGTTGTTGGGGCGGGTTGGCCTCCGTAGAGAGAGGGCGGCGGCGCGCCGAGCGCCGGGGGGCTTGAGAGAGCGCTTGGCCGTTTGGGTCGTTGTCGCCGACGTGCAAAAACTGCCGAAACGGATAGCAAAGGGGGGATAGGGGTGTCTCGAGAGGGGAAGGGGGGGGATTGGGTGGGAATGAAGCAGGGAAAGGGGTAAAGATGACATCAACCGGTCGTCCCGAATGTAGTGAGTAACCTCGCAAACCTACAGGTGGCGCGTTGTGGGTTCGATTCTCTCTCAGGAGGGATGTTTTTCTGCGTTTCGAGAGTCTGCCTCCAAGAGAGAAAGGGGCGGCTGAACCCTGCTGGCGAAAACTACTTCAAAAGGCAAGTGATACATACCTCAGGATGAGAGGTTGGGTCACAATAAAAAAAAAAAAGTGTTTGACTTACACTATGTTGACCCCGGCTGGTATGGTATGAACTTGCACGTTAACGTGTCAGCGTCAGCATAGATAGGACGAATTCACACACCCACACAAACCCACACAAACCCACACACGGGAGAGGGGTGGGGGTCGCGACCTTCAGCGACAGCAGTAGTACACATGCTGCAGAGCAGTCGCACATGTACGTTGTGCGGTATACGTGGCAAGTCCTGCCGCCACGACAAGTACACTTGTAAACGTTAACACCCAAAAGCAGTCACTGAGAGGCTCTAAGCATGAGTTGGGTTGCTATCCGACTGCTGTACCGTCACCCGGCGGGGTACTGTTGGGTGATGGTAACTCTGCACATGCACTGCTGTGTAGCCGACTGGATGCAGCACCTGTTGTAGTGGGCGCATCCGTCCGCAACGGCAGCAGAGCAGTTGTTCATGACACAAACTGAATTTCGGCGGAGGTACTTCTGTATATTGAGATTCTGAGAAATGCACTCTGGTGTATCACAGTTTCCCGACAATTGGTGGTCATGTGGGGTTGTCTTGTTCAGAAAAAGCTCAGCACTAACTATCGTACGATACGGCAGTGCCGCTTTGGTCTACAGCTACAGCGGTGCAGCAGTCAGGAGACCTATCTACACGATATAAGACAGTAGACAGCGGTAAACTTCAGGCGGCGGACGAGTGCGATGCCGAGTACAGAGGGCCAGCAATTGAACTGCATTCTGACCCCGACATCGCTTGATGTTGCAAATCAGCTCCAACACCATTGCTGCTACGTGAGTGCTGTAGCTGGCGAGGCACTGCCGGCGTGCCGGCGTGCCGGCGTGATTGCACCCACGTAACGGCTGCAGCGATAACGCAACCATTGCTGAAGCGCGCCAACAGACGGAGAGCATTCAACAGCAGTTCAACATGCGCCCTTCAAACACTGTGTCTAATAAATCAAAGCGGCGTGCGCTTGGGATGGGCGTGTGAGAGAGGCGAAAGAGACAGGCTGTGTCCGCGTGCATGCTGGTTTGTGAGCACAGATTTCAGGTACACACAGCAAGCAGTAGCGACGACAACAAAGTCTCCGCCCGCTGGAGACGTTCGGAACGTATTTTGAGACACGTATGTACACCAGCCCCGCTATGTGACCACTCACCCCACAAGCAGCACCCCTGATGCTAGCAGCTCGAGCAGCCGCATCGCGAACGGCTGCGTGTCGTAACAGCATCGTGCCTCCACGACCGAGCGACGCAGCAGAGGTAGAAGAGGGTGACGCTGTGCCTCGCGGCATACGCACCGCGTCACAACCAGCTGCTCACAGCCCCCCCCCCAGCCCCGAGTTCCCAGTTCCGAGTTCAGAACCTTCTTGACGGTTTCATTTCTGTGTCTCCTTTCGACCTTTCGACGCGGAGAAATGAAACCCGACAAACAAAAGAGCCCTCGGAACCCCCACAGCACCATTGCTGCTGCCTTTGCACACTACTATCGCCAATACTTGCTGCTTTCAGAAGCCAGCTTGTTGCCGATAAGCATGACACTAGCTCGGAAGCAAGCAAACAACTAACAACCACAGGCTTTCCCAGGCCCATCGACTTGCATCGACAGCTAATAATCTACGAGGAACCAGCAGCACACGACGGGGTGGACCGGTTCCTCGGACAGACGTGTCAATTTCGTCGTAAGAGGAGAGACCCACAGGCGTCCTTTGTTGCCAATCGTTCGGCCTGGCGATTGCCCCTTCTTTCGCTGTGCGGAGAACACGTCAAGGATGCAACTGAGACCGTATCGCCATCTGCGCCGTGTGTCCTGTTGAACGGCGGTGGACATGAATCTCTCACCTTAGTCGGGACCTCAGCACTGCCATGAACCAGACCGACGACCCGGCGACCGTCGCCGCGGCCAGGAAATCGTCGTCAAGCTCCCAACCGCCAGTGGTGACAGACAATGCGGAGGTTAAGTCACCTGCACCGGCATCAATGCCAGCACCTGGAAAAGCTGCTGACAGCAGTTCTGAAGACCTTGATGATATGCCCGATTTTGGTGATGGTGACGCTGACGCGATGTTGGAAGAAATGGCGTCATTTCCATCGGTCCAGTTTGCCGACAGCACACTACCCGGCACTACGTCGCCTGCGGGACGGTTGACCTCGTCCGGGGTAAGAAACTATGGAAAAATTTGCTGTTGATAATATACAGTAGATCAGATTTTTTCTTATCTAACGTCTTTTTTTGGAGGAATCAACACCTGTGCTTTAGTCTACAGTGCAGAGCGCTATTGCTGCTTTAGCACGTACAGTAGTCGGGAAACACTGTGGCAGATGCCGACGGTACCAGGTGAGAGTACCTGTCGACTAAATTCGATACATCCTGGTCCTGTACCCTACACTAAAGTTCACGGCACAATACACACTGCGTTGATGACCGGCAGACCGTGAGGGCATCCGTCGGCTATCCCTTTGCTACATTCGGAGCTGGGTTCGAGGACTTGGACATTACTGAACGATTCGTTGCCTGTCGCACTGGCGGTGCATTGCTGGGATCCAAAACCTTAATACACCTACATAATTTGCTCTGCAACATTTCAAAGCGTCGCATTTCCGAGGAGATACATTGTAGCACCGGCCACCAATAGTAGTGGCTACGATGCTGAGGTCATTCATATACGGTATTATATTTTGGTCTTTCTTCACTCTTACGCCTGCATGTGGCCAATGTTGGCTTCCTCCCACCAGAGGCGACACAAAACGAGCGCCGCGCACGGTAAAGAGCCTACGGTTCTGGGCGGTTTCGACCACCTACAACCAGTACATACCGCCATCTCACTACCACCGCCATCTTCAACAACAACCATCCACATGTAACGACGTAGAATCTCGGACCTGCTCCCCATGCCTCGCGAAATGCTGCAATACAAGTCGGAGGACGACAAAAGCCCCGACCACCCAGAACGCAAACCAATGCAAAAGTTCAAGAGCCTCGTTCGCTTCATGGCGCCAAGCAGCCTCGTCAGGGAGTACAGCGGCCTCCTGGACGATCTCGACTCCGACGCTAGCAACGGATCGAGCGAGGAGACAGAACAAACGCCACCGAAAACACCACCAGAAGAACCCGAGCCGTCACCACCACCGCCGGCAAAAGAACAACCGCCACCGGCAGAAGAAAAACCTCCATCGACAGAACAAAACCCACAACCTACAGAAGAAGAAGTGTCTCCAGGAGCGTCGGCGGGAGGGGGGAAAGCGGGGGGGGGCAAGGGTTTGAAGCTCACCTTGGAGCTAGAGGTCGATGCGGCGAGCCTCTCCGGAGATCTGGGGAAGTACGCCGGTACATCATGGAGACTGACTAGCCCGAGGGTCGAGGGAGGAGGAGTTCCTATACAGACGCCGGGGCCGACCGAAGCCACGGTGAGCCCTGTACCATGAATATTCTTTTAGTTTTTGCCTAAAAAGAGGACGGAAAGTTGTTTGTCCATGCTTTATACGTACAAGACATGGCTTCGGGTTTCCAAGGCGTTTGGGAGGAGAGGGATCCATCTCGGGAAGGGACCATGCCAGGTTGCGTGGGATAACACAAGGGCCGCAGAAAGAAGGGGCTCGACATCGGAACCCATGTCGGAACCCACGCGGCCCATACCGATCGACCCCCTTCCGTGCATGCCCCGCGTTTTCCCAAGCCACCGCGCGATCCGGCAGGGCCTTCGCACGGTGTGCCAGCGACAAAGGACCCGTACAATGACAATAGGTAAGACGAACAACGCGATCTGCATGTATTCGCGTGTATTTGCAACTCACTCTGGATACGGTTTGCAGCGGAGCAAGGCGGTAAAACTAAGCTGACAAGAACTACCGGGAAGAAAGGTAACCTGTATCGTTTCAACCGTTCCATCATTCTGGCATCGCTGTACTGTATGTGTGTGGGTAGGAAAAACGAAAAATACTAGAGACCCAGGCCTGACAAAACGAGAAACGATTCTAAGCTGCAATTACGGTAGGGTCCCTGCTTTACAGATTCATCTACATTTACACTTCAAAGCACGTTGTGTTCTGTGGTATTGACAACGTCATTCGATTGTATTTCCCATTACTAGTCCACGCTTCATTCCTGCAATCTGCCGCCACGTAGCTTCTGTTCACCGCAATACGAACTCCGTCGTCGGCTTTCGTTTTACCACTCGTGTTCTCCATCTTTTGTGTCGTCGCCTCTAGTTATCCCTCGCACACGCAAGCACCTCTTGACCTCTTGTCTCTCTGGTTCTTGCTCTCTCGCTGCTGGTGCGCACCCGTGGCGGCAAGCGGCAGGGCACTCCAGAAGTCGCCGCAATCAACGCAGCAGTCTACACCAACCAAGCCTCGTCCAGCGGATCGCACGGACAAGCAGCTGGTGTCGTCTAACGTGAGGGAGACTACAACGACGACCGGAACGACTGCTACCACGACAACGACGCCCGGAGTCGCATCCCCCACGGACGAACAAGCGAAGAAATTGCTGCGGTGGTTTCGGAGTCACTTCGACCGCCGAGAGATTGACTGCGACTTCAAGCTCCGGCACAAGGTCAGTCGGTGCGGCTGCCGTGGGCCTCCCAGTTCCCTGTCGTGTTAGGTATACCTCTGCCTCAAGGACCTGTTGCTGTTTTTGTGAATCTCAGGAGGGATCGAGCAAGACCCAGCCTGTTGCTGTTGTTTGTGAATCTCAGGAGTGATCGAGAAAGAACCAGCCTGTTGCTGTTTTTTGTGAATCTCAAGAGGGATCGAGAAAAACCCAGCTTGTTCGGTGAAGTCTTGTACGTACGCCCCGAATCACCTGTCTTGCCCGTACACGCGCAAGCGCAGATTGCGAACGGCTACCTCGTCGGCGCATGCCTGGCTCACTACCACCCGCGAAAGATCGACAGCGTGGACTTCAACCGCGGCAACAGTCCCGCCAACAAGGCCGCCAACTGGGAGTTCGTGCAGAAGTTTCTTGGGAGAAGGAGCTATTCCCTCCCCCACGAGGACGTGCGGTGTCTGTGTACGGTGAGCAAACGCGGAAGAGGAGCGGAGCGGATCGAAATCCAAGCTATCAGTCATAATACAGTAGATTCACGCTTCGTTTCGTATTGACTTGTTGTCGAGGGATGCCACACAGTGGAGGTGTCTTCCCTTCCCTCCCTCCGGCTGGAGCCGAGTTGAAGCGACGAGGCATCCAAACGGGTGTTCCGCCTGTCACCTCGGGTCCCGAGAGATTGGGCCGACGTGTCATGATGACAGGAACCAGAAAATAGACGTATCGATGGAAGTGGCACCAGGTGCTGTACTTTGTTTGTCGGAGCGCCTTGCGGGCGGTGATGGCGAGAAACGACAGCAAAACACGTCGGGGGGAAGGATTTATTGCTGAAGCACTTGGTTGTGCATCGGCGTTTTGTGTTCGCCAACCATCCCGTTTCAATGGCTTTTACGCTTGCCCTTGTCCGGGTACAAAGGCAGATTGATCCGTCGATTGATGTAGGTGTTCAAATGCAAATGAGACTTGGAACACGTGTGGCGTGCCCTTGTCGGGCGGGACGGCAGCGCGGTGTACTGCCTCTTAGGAGTCATCCCTACGCCGACTCAACGAGCCTGGGAGAGTCGAAAAAGGCCTCAGAAGATGCCCGAGAGATAGAAAACGGCGAAGTCTTCCTCTTGAGCGCTCTGCTAACACGTAGGGTAGCAACAACAACCGCGGAGAATTTCCTCCTGCACATTCCATTTATTCATCACCCAATCGATGCGGCCCGAGTTTGGAGCAAAACGTTGGAGCCACATTCTGTAGAAGGCTAAGGTTGACGCTGTTGGAAATTTACGAAGCGCATGAGTCGTGATCACTCATCTCTTTTCGCTGAGGAACACGAACTCCTCATTTTGTCCTGTTTTCGGAAAAGTGCACCATTTAGTGCTACTCGGTGCGTATTGCCGAAGAGGGACTTGTACAACGGGAACCAAACAGCGTTTAGAACTCGTAGGACCAAGACAGAGAAAAAAACTTTCTTCCGGTGGCAAACTAAATAGCACGTGCATGTACGTTCGCTCGCATCGCAGGTGCCGATGCCGGCGGAGGAAGGGGTCGAGGCGGCTAGCCGGGTTCTCGCGGGGCTCTATGCCTTCCTACTCGCGGACGGATTGGTGCCCCCCCTGGCGGGGATAGCCCCGGCGCATCTCCGAGCCCCACCGGCAAGGCAAGAATACACAACAGGATACGTTATCAGTGTTTTCCCCTCCTGCCCACCCCGATGGGACTCGAACTGTTCACCGAAAAAACTTTTGTCGCTTCCGGGGGGGGGTTGAGAACCGGGTCACCAGCATCTTGAGTTTCGTCTGGGATGGGAGCGAACACTACCTGATCGAGTGGGTACACAGAGGGTATTTGGGTAGGCAACGTGGGACGAATCGACTTCTGCTGCACGTACAACGGGGGACTAATTCCACCAGGACAACCAGTCAATACCAAAGGAAGCAAGCTTTTTGTCATCGGAGGCGGGCCATCATCTCTGTCAGACAGCTAAATCAGAACTTTCAGGACACGAAAACGAGGAACCAAGAGCCGTGAGTGTGCATAGCTTTCTATCGAAGAGTGTGGAAGTTGTGGATGTGACACATAGTCCTCCAACGTCAGGCGCTAGCTTGTCGAGAAACACGACGACAGAAAAGGGCCGTGAGCTCGCGCGTTTTTCTGCGGCGGGACATTCTGAAATGTTACTAGATTCCACGGCTTAGAGAAAAGATGCTGCACACTACATGTAGGCCGAAAGGGGGCAATTAACCCACTGCGCTCTTATACTAGTCGATTGCGACAGCTTACCGACAGTGCCTCCACGTTCTTTACAACCCATACCCGAAACCAATCAGCTTTTTAAAGAGTCGCCGCTCATGCAGGTACACAATCAACGCCACCACCGTTCATATCACACGTATTTCTGCTGAACCAAAGCTCTGACGTTACCGTACAACTCAACAACGAAGCCAACGGCCACCAGTCGCTCTTCGTTCGCTGGTATGTGAGGCCAGCAACAGTTCCGATGCCTTCACGGAACTGCCCGGAGAAGAACTAAAGGGGAAAAAGAGGGATGCCAGAAACCCGGGGATATTTAGCTCCTTTCGCCTATATTACAGAACCCAGGGGGGGGCGGGGGGGAGTTCTCTTCAGTCCCCGTAGGTGGTGTATATTCGAAGTTCGCCACGAATCCCTAGGCCAGCAACCAATGCCAACCGATTATTTGGGAAGCTGCAACTTCTCATTGGTCGGCGTCCGAGGACGGGGTCGCGAGTGGTCCATCTCCACAGGATTCAGTTTTGCCGATTGCAGAAACCCTTGGACATCATAGTCTATACTTCCAGCCACCCTACGTTTCCAGAGACGCAGCACCTGGGTTGCCCTCCTCCCGTGTGGGCCATCCTCTCTCCTGCGAACGATAAATAGCAGGGGCATGGGTTTCATGTCCTTGAGAGAGAAAGATCTGTGGAACTGTTTCGTTAACACAGCGAATGAGGATTCCTCCGATGACAACCTGTGCGCCTACCCCGTTACTCCACCCATTTTTGTTGCGTGGCAGACGAAAAGTTCAAATCTACAAACGCTTCACCGACCGCCGAAGGAGCGACATGGAGGAGGAGGAGATGATGAGGATGCTGGCTGCCACCGGCGCGAACGTTCCCGAAAACAGTGGTAGACGAGCGAGTGGTGTTGGTGGCGGGTGGAAGAGGTCGTCCTCCCTTCCAGCTGCATCGATCAGGTGGGTTTTTCGCCCCCCTGTAACAACCGCATTGTGTTTGTACGGCAGGTATGTGGAGGCTGTGGTAAGGCCTGAATCCGAAAGGCCCAATCCTCCCCACCATATGCCAAGCCGATTATGTGGGCGCCCCGTTCAGCTCGCACCCCTCCCTCGTGTGTCGTCATCACCCTCTCAAACCCATACGACTACAGCATGGTTGTGTTTGGGATTGTTTGCGACCTTTTACCATTCTGTTACGGGATACAATGCAAGCCTGGGCTTTGGACACGAAGTCTCACTCGGATGGTCATAAGACTAATCCAAGCGTCAATTTCATCACGCAAGTCGGGCGTTGTTCTTGTCTCTCCTCTCCAAAAGAGCAAAATCCTCTCCATCACCCTCGTTGCACGATTCGCGGTCTTCTTTCAAGATGTGTTTGGTGTTGGACGTAGCTTGCGAGAAGGAACAAAAGCGGCAAACACAATTCGTGTTTGAGGTCCTCCCAGTACAGTAGCGTGCAACTCGTCGGATATCACACACCAATGTCGGGTTGGGTACCTCACAAAACCATGCTGTCTTCCACACCGTTCCTTCGGGATGTGAGCTCCTGTGTTGAAACAGAAGGAGTTTTCTCGTTTGAACATCGTCTCCACGCACCGCGGTGAATTGTGCCTGTTGCGTCAGTTCCAAAGATCTTCAACGCGAACAATCACTCGCCACTTGTGATTGCGAACAGCTGCACAGTCTGGTAGAACCTTGATAACTACTGTTCTTCGTGCGTTACAGCGTGCTCAAACTTCCTTTCCCTGTCCCCTACGTGGCACGCGAAAAAAAAGGAACGCCGAGGAGTTCCACGAATCGAGGCGAACGGGCGGGGAGGGCAGAGGCAAGGCGGCAGCAAAAGACGCCCGCGGAAAGGAAGAACCGGGCAAACGGTCGCGGAGCTACGCCCCTGGGGAAGCGTTCTCCAACGCGGACCCAGCAAAGCGGGAAGGCAGAGCCCTCGGCAACGTTGAAGGGGGGCGAAGAAGAGCAAGCCCTGACAGCGATCTCGTGGACAGAGGTGGCGGTGTGGAAGGCGCTGGCGGAAGGGGCGGTGGTGGCCGGAGGGCGATGCCACGAGACACCAGAGGTTTCGGCAACGTGAGAGACGGAGGGGAAGGGCTGGTACGGCGGGCGGTCAAGGTGGGCCCAAGGCGGCTGGGGAGGGCGCCTGGATACCAGGAGAGCGACGGTTCATCGAGCTACGAAGGGCGGCACCGTCCGGCAAGGAGTCGTCGAAGGGGCTTCGGATTCGCCAGCGATGACGACGATGACCGTGGAAACCGCCGTCGTCATAGAGTAGTCAGAGGAGTGAACTTCGAAACGACCGCACCGGGTGGCCAGAGCGACCCCTCGGTTGGGGGGGAAGAAAGAGAGTACCACAGGAGGCGGCGGCGGCGGCGGCGACGGCCGCGGCAGCAGCGGCGAGATGGCAGGCTAGACGATGAGCATTTCCGGCACCACCGAGCCGAGCGATTCGGAGACGGCCAAGTATTCGATGGGGATGCTAGGGGCGCCCGTCATCAAGCAATGGCACTGAGAGATGTCAGCGATCAGGGGTCTAGTTTTGAAGAAGGCGATACGAGCCCCCGCCGTCGGCAACCCAGAAGAGCGGCGGCGGAATCAAACCGGTCAAGAACATCTCCCTTGTGGAGAGAGAGAAGCACAGAGATCGACGAGAAGGGGGGCGTGGCACGACACCGCGCGAGGAGCGGCGGCAACAGCAACGACAGGCGCGACAACAACAACGGCGAAGGAGCAGACGCCTACTTTGGGCGTGCAGCGTACGCTACTGCTGCTTCTGCGGCGGCTCCCGTCGGAGCGGCTAGCCGTAGCCGCCACGGCCAGGCGAGGGACTTCGGTTACAGAGAAGACGGCCACGACGACCGCCGGCGTGGGGGGGGCAGAGACCGTCAAGGCAACAACAACGACTACGACTACAACGAAGAGGGCGCAGCGTTCTCGACCCCGTTCGCAACCCCGAGACGACGGGCACCCCAACCCGCCGCGGCCACCACCGCCCAACCCCCGAAGCAGTCCTTCGGGACCTGGCCAGGGGGCCGCCGCGGCGGCGGCGGCGGCGGTGGCGGTGGCGGCGGGCATGCCGAAGGCCACGGCGGCGGTGGATACGACTACCCGTCCTTCCCCCCTTCGGCACTGCCGGAAGGAAGGAGAAGGCGCCCTCGCGACGGCCCTGCCGCTGCCCCCGCACCGGCCACCCCGAGGAACGACAAGCCGCGAAGTTACGGCGGCGGTCAGAGGGCGATAGGGGGACTCGCAAGAGAGGTGCGGTTGCCATAATTTGTAGATGGGTGTATCTAAACCGAGATGTACCACGGTTGGTGTACTAAGAGCAACCGAAGGTGTCACCATTTCCGTTTTTTTTTAGGTTGTTTGAAACGATCCGTCACGGTATGTTTTGGGGGAACACACACGGCACCGACAAGCTGAGATTGTGGTATTTATTTTTCTCTTTGTGCAGGAGGAAGCCGGGGTTGTGCGAATGAGCAGGAGGAGAGACAACGCCGATATCGAAGGCGAAGGCCGGCAAAGGCACCCGGGGGGAGCCGGCGGCGTTGGGGCGGGCGGCGGTGGTGGCACTAGCGGGGGTAGAGATAGAAGTAGAAGCTGGGCAAGAGAGGGTACGCAGAGAGGGAAAGACTGGCCGGCAGCCGAAGCTACTGGGGGGCGGCGAGGCAACGGGCGTGGTGGTGGTGATGGTGATGGTGGTGGTGGTGGTGGTGCACATACGCGCCCGCCAGATCAACATCGCTCATTGTCCACCAACACGGGACCCGGGGGCGCCGACGGTCTCGTGCCGAGCCACCCTCGGAGACGACGGGAGCGAGCAGATGGCGACGGATACGGCTTGAAGAGCAGCTCGGGCGCCGGCGCTGTTGCCGGGCGTGTGGCCCCGTTACCGACGAAGAGCACGCGAGCGGCTCGAAACCGGTCGCCGGTCAACAGCAGCGCACCCCTCGGGAAAATGTCCGGCTTCGGACAGGGGGACGGGGGCTGGAGCGAGAGGGTCGAGGGCAGGCGGCAGAGGCAGCTCGAGCAGCGAGGCCGGCTGGCGAGGTCGATGGTGGCAGAGGTCAACGGCGACTCGGGCAGGATAGAGCCCTTGTCGGCGGCCCCGCCTGCGGCAGGTCACCACCACCACCAGGCCGTTTCCCCTCCTCGGCTTCGACGTCTCGTTCAATCCGAGGTGCCGTGTACCCTTCAGGTCGATGTGCCATTGTCGATATCCCCACAACAGCAGGAATGGTCCGTTTGTTTATGAAAGGATTGGAGTTGGAAGCGTTACCAACATCTTGCCAAAGAAGTTTCTTTGTTGTCGAGGTATGAGCGCGGCGAGACAAGCACGGTTTCCTGCCGTACGTTAAATCAGTACTCCTCACCCGCGGTCAATAGTCGGCCGCTGTCCGGATTTCAACGCCAGGATTTTCCACCAACAGATCTAGATAGCGTGTACAAAACGCGATTGATTGCAGAACTTGAAATGCTCAAAAGAAAGCAAGCGCCTCATTGTTCAGGCCCTTGGATCACCGGATCCTCGGTTGTTGTTCTTGCTGTTCGTCGTTGTTGGAGAGTCAAAATCACAGTAGACGACGGTTTTTCCTCGAGTCTTGGACCGGTACGTGCTCGCGGAATATTGATCAACACCAACAACGTCGCGGTTTCACGTTGTTATTGGTGAGCGCGTGGGAGCGTTGATTGTCTTGTCAAGACTCTACGTGTATGGCCGTCCATCTTGGGAGTCTACCTCGTGGCAGGAAAGACCGCGAAGGTGCTGCAAATTCCACTACTGTACAATGCGAGAGGTTCTGTCGAGAATGAATCACCGTGGGCTTGCACGCCTGGCGAAAAAGCAGCTGCTACTATCTACTCGTGGCTCGAGTGAAAGGCGTTGAGCGAGTAAGGACGCTCATCGAAAAGACAGTACGACCCTGGTTGGTCTCCAAGGCGGCCGTTCGCGCCACTGCTAACACTTTCACGAAAGTAGGCGAAACGGACCGGTTTATGTCTCAGACTGACGGAAGAGACACTCAACACCACATTGTGTTCTATGTCCTACGTAGAACTTGAGAAACGCCTGTTTCGCGTCCTTGTTTGTCTTTTGTTTTCGCTCGATGACATTGTTCGTGGATGCAACACAGCCGCCCGCCAGATCGCCACTGCGCGGCAGCAGCCCGGAACCACAACCGGCCGCCCCGAAGGCAATCGCTCGAAACAAGGCCGAGGTACACGGGCAAGATGAATATAATTATTATCCTTGTTTGACAACACGATAATTTATGTACGGTTATAGGAATAGCCAGGGGTCTTTTCGAGAGGAGGGGTCTATTCTGCGCACCTGAACTTCAAAACGGCGCTTGCTTGTTCTCTTTGGGCATGATTTTCTCGCCAATGGACAACCCAGCATGCTAGATACGTTCGCGTGTGCACTTCTTTCGCTACCCCTCGCATACACAAGAACGTTTGGAAGTGCTTCATCCACAAATATGTGTCGAAAGCATGGAGTTTCGAACCTCAAGTTGTCTTGATAATTCCCTCTCGATGTTGTCGCTACGCGGTGACACCCCCCCCTCCCCCCATCCTCGATGGAGCGAACAGTCTCGGAGCCCAGTGTATCAAGCGATGAACCAAGCGCAAAGGCAGCATCAGCGTCCGTCACTGCTGCCAGCAAATGGTACTACGAATCGGGCGGGCTTCAACTCGTACGCTGATGACGGGGCTACAGGCGTAGCGGTAAGATCTGGTAGTCAACCTTTCCGGGTGAAAATACTGTAAGAAAGCCCAGGGTGTTCGTTAGGCCATGTCCTGGCCTTGGTTGCTGCATCACTCGCGACAAAACCAAGCACTATCGATTGGTGGGAGGTTCAAGTACGACGATCTCGAAAAGGGTGCGAACAACATACCACACATGGCTCGACAACCTAGAAAATTAGTCTCCCACGGACGACGAATGAGTTATTATTATTTTATGGACCGCGAACTTCGTTTGAGAAGAGACCGGTTTTAGAGCCTTGGAGGAATACCTAGTTTTGCACGGTATGAATGCTGCTCGGTAACGGGCAACTGGCAATAAGTCGATCTAGTAGTCCTACCCCCCCCTTGTTTTCACGACTGTCTGTGCTGCTTTTACTATAAAACGCTCGACAGGTTGGCGTAAACTGGGGCTAGACAGAGATTCAGCTGCTGCTATTGCAAGAATCATGGCGTAATACTCGCTCCGTGGTCATCGCTGCTGCCGCAACAACAGCGATGACCCCGTCCGTGGTACGGCCGTGAGAGGCTGCCACGCAACGCACTCCAAGACGGGAGAGAGAGGTAGACTTTCGGGAACTGGTAATGGTGGAGCACGTGCGTGTATGTGCCGTTGGGGACGAAGCCAGTTGCCCTCCCGCGTGTGACAATATGAAGAGTAGGTTGCCCTGGCCTATGTTCGTTTCTGCAGATAGCGATGGGTGAGAGTTGCTGGGTTAGAGCGAACCGGGCGTGAGACGAAAAAGTGTTGTAGTAGTGAGGTTTGAACGTACTAACGTTGGTCCGGCCCCGAGGCGTTTTTAGACCATGCTGCTTGGGGTTCCGCGGACGAAATCAAAGGCGGCGCGGTGCTTTTTTTAGCTCTGCTGGGGTGCGGTAATGGTTGGTAGCCTTGTGCGAGCGACGTCAACGAGTTGCTCGCCGTTCATTTGTAGAGGAAAACAATATCGGGTCTCGAACGGTGTGGTTTGTAAGGTAGAGCTTTTGCTATAGAGAGATATATGTGGTTTGCCATCCCCCCACCTAGGACTTTAGCTTTCATCTGAAAAGAAAACAAATCCATAAATGAATGTCGCAGAGAGATTATATAGTTCCTACAGTAGGTGAAAAAACATTACTGGCAAATTCATGTTGAAGCAATCGGTCACCCGGTAAAGTTGCCCCACGGCAGGTGGCGGAAACCCTTGTTTTGTGAGAACGGTAGCTTGAGGATGCTGGGGGGGGTTGTTGCCGCAGCATTATAGATACATCGAATAGAGAAGTATTCAATCAATTGTGGGCAAGCGTACAACCGGAGATAATCTACATAATAATCCTACATTGCGATATTGTATTACTGTGGTAGACAACACCTCTATTCAGAAAAAAACTGAGAGCCTCATAAACTTGTTGCATACGTAAAGCGAGAGAAATTGATTTTCGGCGAACAGAACGAAGGGCAGGACAACGTCCAAGTCTGGATAAGAGTATCCTTCCTAGCTAGATGTAGACGCACTCGCGATGTAGACATATCGCCCAGGATTTTTTTCCAAGAATAGCGGTCCGCCTATTGCTCGAACAGGATGGATCTTTCTTGATAAATAGGGAAGAAAAAGAACGTAGGCCAATCAATCAATGTGTATCGACGGAGAAGGTCTCACCTTCATCTTCCGCCATTTTGTTGAACCACGCTTGCTTGTTCGAGTACAATAAACAACCTCGTCCACGATTGTTTGGCAATTCTAGCCACAACGCAAGTGAACAAAACGAGCCTCCGCCGGTACAATGCAAAAATCATCTGCCTGTTCACGGTGACACGCTGGAGACGACGACTTAGAGTCGTGTTCCGTGTTTCTCCAGTCGACAAAAGAGTCTGGTTGCCACAGAGACACCAACCTGGATACACACGTTCATCTCCGAGCAACGAGCAACATCCCTCTTTCACCAGGGATGCTCCACGATAGACGTCGTACCAGTACTTCTTTGCCTCACAGAAACACAAAACAGACTAACCCTACTGGTGGCGAGCAACAGCCCAGGAAAAGATTCGCGGTGGATCGCTTAATTTCGCTGCGTGCGACCGGGCGTTCACCCCACTCTTCATTCCAATGGTACTCAGTCCGTACCAATTTGCCACAACGCGGCGAACCCCTTGAACTATAAGTTGGCCTGTCTTGTTGCACGGCCCATCGCCCCTTCGCGATGCCTTGGGTACAGTACTGTGTCGCAGGCAAACACTTCATTCCATCGTTTCTTGCGAGTGGTCAGACTTCCAACTCTGGATCAATCTCTTTTCGTTCACGTTCATCTGTGAGCAGCCACCGAGTGTTGTGTTTTCTTCCTTGAAGGACAGGGTGGGGGACATGACGCATCGAGGCCGGTACGGTTTCCAATGCGAACACAACCAACAACCACCACAACAACAGCAACAACCACCACAACAACGTTGTCGGGGTCGAACTTGGAACCGCCTCGTTAGTTCGGGTGAATGTAGAATAGCGACAGCCAAAGGTGAAGGGTCTAACGGAACAACCCCTACTGATCAAAGCCACGTACCAGGAACGTTTGCGACAAACGTTAGGCCACGCATGCCTTTGGAGGAACCTCTCCAAATAAACACCTCAGGCAAAGAAAACACCACAATAAATGTATTAACAGTAGTCATCATGATCACTCGTCCAAAACGGAAAAATTCACAGCTTGCAAGCACTCAAAAATGACCGAAAGTCTCTCACGATACATCACCGAAATTAACACCAACATTACGGGAACACTATCATCGACCTCTGGCCATTACCGCTCGAGAGAGGCTCATCCAGCAACGCTTGGTACTTCGTCAAGCACGGGGAATTGGACGACCGACGACAAGCGCAAAAATAGAAGGAAAACCAAATAGTAATCAACGGGGTAGCGAGGTCCACACAGCAACATAGGCGCGGAGAGAAGGTTGCATCGCGCGCATTCATGAGTAGTCGCACGACACGAAATCTCTTTCATACAAGAAGATATCCGAACAATGCCTACCAAGAATGGGCAAACACGCCTCAAACAACGAAGAAGCAAAAGACACATATATGGTACACGTGCTACGCGCGTGTGGCACGGCCAAGCGATGGTAACTCTAAACCGCCAACCCCTACACACCAACGCAACGCAGCAGCATTCATACCCTTGCGCGATCACCACCACCACCACACACATCAATATTTCACGCCAAGCAACAGATGCCACGCCAATGCCGAGGACAAAATTCGTGCGATGCGATACACCAGCACGTAGACACACATTATCAACAGACACACTCGAAAAAACAAAACAAAACAAAAAACGCGAAACCTACCCGGTACCTACTTGAGTCCCTACTTTCCGGCACCACAAGACGGCCTCAGCCCCGTGCACCTGTGGCAACGGCAACGACATCTCTCTCGTCCGCAAAGCCCTGCACGCTCACCCGCCCCAAAACACACAGCATGAAAATGCTGGAAAAAATCAAAACAAAAATGGGACGTTCCTTCTTCCGGCGGTTCGCTTCTTTCCACCAGAAGAACCCTTCTTCAACAAGCAGTAAAAACATGTTGGAAGTATATTCCTTTTTGGAAATTCAGTCATCGCCTTCAGGTGCAGGAGCTCCTATCAGATATCCGCTGGCTCTGCTTGTCAAACGGCGGCGGATTGCGACAGCGGAGGGTGGGGGGAGAGGAAAGTTAGCCTTTGCGGTAGCCGTAACGAAAGGCGCCACGAGGTGGATTCGCCCCGCTCTCGAAAAGCACAACTAAAGGGTGGTGGCGGCGGGGACGATCTAATACGGTATCGAGGGGTCAACCGCGAACGCGCGAAGAGCTGAGGTGGTCGGGAAAACCAGAGAAGAGCATGGCCGAGATGAGCCCGACAAGATTTCACGCGCACATACACATTCGACAATGTGGCCGAGGTATCGTCCTAGTAGATCCATCCACCCGGGCACATATGTTGGGAACAAGCAACCGACACACGGAAATACATTTCAACACCTTTGCAATCGCACACAAACACAAATCACCTCCAGAATGTACATAGGCCCAAGTCGAAGTATTGGGCAGGAAATGTTCCACTCAATGCGCACAACAACAGACCCGCAAATCCCCATTCACCGACGCTGCGGCATACTCCTTCTCGATTCGCCTCCAGAACGAGTGTATAGAATCGCGAACGGGAGTAAGTGGGAGAGCAGCCAAACGGGCGTCTCCACCGCTGCATGGAAATCAGCCAGACAGGCGTCTCGGCTCCTGAAAAGAAAACAGCCATAAACGGGCGTCCCGGCTGCCGCATAGCAAGCAGCCAAACGGGCGTCTCGCTGCTGCATATACATGGGCATAGAAAGCTGGTGGTAGGCAGTACTCACGCGCAGTGGTCCCAGCCGAAGCTGTCGTACATGTAGGGTAGCTCCTCGTTGTCCGGGTAGATGAAGTCTAGCCACTCTGCGTTGGTCATCTTGCGCACTTCCCCGCCGATCTTCACCGTTGTTGGTTTTTTGTTCCCAAAGGGGGCAGGGAGAAGAGAGAGAGAGAGAGAGAGAGAGAGAGAGAGAGAGAGAGAGAGGGGGGGGGAGAGGGAGAGAGAGAGAGACGGGAGAGAGACGGGAGAAGAAGCAACAGAGGGAGGGAGAGGCGTTCGTCATGTTGTCAAAAGCGTCTTGAGGGTTTGCTCATCCAGCAAGCGGCGCGCCTCATCCGAAGAGACACAACCTCACCATGCACAAACAGATCAGTCTTTACCTTGTCCAATTCGCACGAACCCAAGTACCACTCCGTAAGAAAACTATCGCGTGTACTACAAGGTGCGGGGTAGAAACCGAACGGTTGTTAACGTCAACACAACAACAATGCTCCAACCAAGGGCGAAAAACGTCATACTACGTGGTCTAGTTCGAGGCAGAGAGATCAACTAAAAAAGGACAAAATACAAGGTCTAGACAGTACAAATCGTACCAGGCAGAGAGAGCAACAACAAAAAAAAGAACCACAATTTTCTTTCGCCCCTGTAGTAGACGTACAATGACACTCGTCACACCTTGACTTTGAAAGGAAGCAAGTCCCCGGCGGAGTGTCCCCCGCAGATGCCTTTGACGCACGTCGGCATGTCGAGGGTGCCCTGCCGCACTCCCGACCAGTCACACACCATCCCCGTCTCCCCGACAACATTGCCGTGGGTGTAGCCCCAGTCTTCGCTAAAGGGGTGCCTGTGGCAGCGGTGGCGGGGGGGGGGGAAGAGAGAGTTTCAAACACAAACGAAAGGCGGTAGGCTTAAAAAGCAGCGCGTGTGAGGCACATCCAATCTGCGGGTGTCTTGTCTACCGCTCAAGGGTGCCGTTTGACTCGTCGGCAGACGTTCTGTCTGTCTGCCTGCCTGTCTGCCAGTCTCTCTTTTTCGCTTCTTTTGTGCCGCTGTAGGAGCTTAATTGCAATAACGCAAGCGTTTGAATAAAGGCGATTTTTGTTGGTCGGCGCCTCGTACCCAAAACTAGCCGAAACGACAACAAAAGAAAACACGATGGGTCGTTTCGGGAAAACGAAGTGCCGCTTCGGGATAATGATGTGTCGCCTCGGGACAAGTACGTGTCGGTCGGGAAATTAAGTGTCATCTCGAGGCAACGGTGTGTCGTTTTCGGGACAACTAAGTGTCGTTTCGGGCTATCGGTGTGTCGCATCGGGACCGCGGCACTCCAAATACCCAGAAACTGGATAGTTGTGCGGAAGCCTTGTGTTCGCCTTCCCAGAATCTACATCGCTGCCTCTCGAACTATCTTATCGCTTCATTGACATATATAAGAATAGCCCATGTACACCCACAACAGCATTTGACAATTTCGAAACGTTATAAATCGGCAAAGACAGGGGCTGTTCTCCTGTTCCTGTGCCTTTTTTTAAGTATGCACGGGCAGCGGAGGGGCAGAGCGCAGGGGGGGGGGGTTGTCTGCGGCCCCCCCGATTATTACGTGGTACTTCCAGCTTCGTCATCTGACGAGCGGGAAAACATTTTCAAGAGCTCACCCACAAGGCCACGCGCGAGATACGTCCGACTCTATGGCATCGCTGCCACCCCCACATGTCTCCTTTTGATGAAGAAAGCCCACACTATTTTGTCTGCACCGGTGAAAATCCTGCCCTCACCAATAAATACCCCACGCTCGTGTGCATCGGTCACAAAACTACCCGAAAAAAAACTGGTCGTACGGTATGTACCATGGGCCAAAGGGCCAAACAGCAGACACTCTTTTTGACCACCGTTTACGTGCACAGGTACGTGGTGTTGGGGTGCTTGCTTCTTTACTCACACGTCTGGTCGCTCTCTGGCCAGCTTCCTCTTCCACCCCATGAACCTCTCGGCGGTGGGGTGAATGACCCAGAACAGGGGGTCGTACGGTGCCGAGGACGAGTACAACTCTCCCACGTGCCTGCCAAAAACAAAAAAAAAAAGCAAGCAGAAGGGGGAGGGGGAGCTGAGACAGGCATTCTCGCATTCCCAGGGCCCCCAGTGCAGCATGTTACGGGAGGTGTCTACCAATATACTCCTAGCATTTCTTGTTTTGGACATTCTCACGATCCCAGCTGCAGCGTGTAGCCGGGGTGTCATCTACTTGTTCTCGAAACCCCTGTGGTTCCAGCTGCAGCATGCTACGGGGTTGGGCGTCAAGAGTTTCATTCTTACGAAAATCCTGTGGCCCCAGCCAGCTGCAAAAGCGCGTAGCGGGGTTGGTCGAGGCTCAAACAGGCGAAAGGGAGGATTTCGAGTTTCTACAGAACACGCGACGACGGGGGGCGCACACCGATGGCTGCCGAACGCTTCGGATGCATGCGTTGTACGCAGCCGGTGGGGGGCACACGGCCAATTGCCGCCTCTACTTCGCAACCCTCAGCGGGAAAAGAATCCAACGAGCGAATAAGCAAAGCCGTCTGGTGTAGGAGGCTTACAAGGCCACGAACCCTTACGTCCGCACATCCATCGAAAGACAGGGGTCAGTTTTGCGCAAGGGGAGATAGGTTCGGGCGAACCATTCCTTTTTAAGACAAGCAGGAGAAAAACCGCCCGCCCGCCAAAGGTACATTTTGCGCGTCGTTCACCAAGAAAAGGAGAGGAAACGTACAAAACTCCAACGGCCACCACGGTACTGCTGGGTGCGAAGCTTACCCGGGGTCGCAGAGCGAGGTGAGCACCTTGGTCCACAGCCCCTCCATGAACTCTGCGTCGTGTTCGTGCCCGGCGACCGTGAAGTGCTCCGTGTTGTTGTCCCACACCTACATGGGTGTCGGGACGGTAGAGGGGGAGGTGTACTCGCGTAAACGCACGCCGTAGTCGTAATCATAGACCATTGGCCTCGCATCCCTACCAACAACGCCGGAACGGGGCGACGTGCCGGGTTTTCGCCGGCCCAGGCTACTTTTTACAAGGATGGACCACGGGGGCAAAGAGAGCGACTGAAAAACAAATAGGTCCGAGAGCACAGCAGTGTACGGAACACCCAATGGCGCGCACCCATCTCCAACAAGCATAAATGTTCACACGCCGGTCGGCTCTCGTGACTCACCACGATCCCGCCCGCGCTTTCCGCGATCCAGTGGAGCGCGTAAACGTCCATCAGAACGTCATAGGGCTTCATTCCCTTCGACTCGTACAACTCAGCGGGGCAAGAGGAGCGGCAGGTGGAGGCGTCTCCAGTGCCTGTACACGCATCGTTGTGTGTCAGGTTCAATCGTTTTTTGAGACCAGAGGTGTGCGTGTGCCATCCGGCTTATCCTAGTTGACACCTTTTGGTGCGTACACAAGACTAGACAGCGAGCGGCATTTACGGCAAGAGTGCTGCTTTCGATATTATCAAAGCGCTAAATTAGTCTATTTCGCTTCTGCTTTGGACGATTCTTTTCCTCATTTGTGTTTATTGGAAATTAGTCTATTTCGCTTCTGCTTTGGACGATTCTTTTCCTCATTTGTGTTTATTGGAATGTGCGTTCATCTGGGGGAATTGGATCGCTTAAGACCCACCTCTCCTGAGCCACCACGAACATGGGGAGAGGGGGGGGAAGGGGTCCGGTATTTTTTTTTTTCTTGTTTTGATTGCTTTATCCCGGCAAACATTTCGTTGCGGGAAAGGACATTCCATGTCACGAGAGCTACTGAAGCGGTAGGATGGATCATGCCTGCGGGGGTTGCAAATTATGTGTGTACCGATTGGGCCCTACTGTTTTTTGGGCCAGGTGGAAACTACGCCATGATGCAAAAACACATTTCGCCCCTTCTTCAAATATAGCAGGCCGTCAATCTTTCCCGCTAAAAACATACATAAAAAAAATCCAAGTGCGCCCCACAAAAAACAAAAATTCGCCCGTGGTTGGAACCCGAACAACACATTCGCGACCATACCAACCAGACCACGTTCTACTCCGGTGCCATACCTTCGCTCTCGACCGAGCAAGAAGTCGGCATCCGTAGGTAGCCTTTTCTCCAGAGGTACTTGCTCATCAAAGGGACCTTGTTGGTGTACCCTGAAAATACGTAACGCAGGATGGGGGGGGGGGCGGGGGAGGGGTCGTTGTCATGTGCATAAAAAGGGTAGGCCGCTGCATCTCACGGCGGCGGGGGGGCGCTCAAACCACCTAGGGACAGGGAGGCCCGCAGCGCAGCGAATTAACCTGAACGAGGAACAAGGGCCATGAACCCCGACACACTGAATATGTAACTGCATCTCCGCCTCCTCGGAAAAAACAAACCGTCTACCCCCCCCCCCCCCCCCC